TACACCACAAATAATGCAAACAAAATAAATGAACTCTCTTTTATATATATGTACGGTAAAAATTATAATTTCACATTTTACTTTGGGTCATGTTGCAATTAGGAATTAAATTATTTTTACCCTAAATTGTACGTCGGATGTATGATCTTTCATTTTGTACCAGTGTAATGCTAGGATGATGTTCACACGAGCACAAAATGTGAAATTAGAATTTAAATGACCAATTTTAGAATTTAAACCGGAAAAAAAAAATAGATCACTTATCGGCTTTGCTTGCTTTGACATCACTTGAAGCTTTTAGGGGAGGCTTCCTGCGTACTTATGGCTCCTTAAACATAATAATCATACATAGTCATAGTGTATGCAAATCATTTTGTCAGTTTTTGAAAGTTCAACTTCAAATAAATACTCCCACCATCTAGATTATAGTTTTAGGTTTGTTTGGGAAGTTTGATTAAAATCATTTTCAATTCAGTTTATTTAACTATTGATGTAAAATTAGATAATAAAAAGTACTCAGTGCGTGGTATATTGGAAAGAAACCTATTTTGATGAAAAATATATGCTATCAGAAAATTTTAAAAATATAGTTATATAGGTGACAACTGACCTGAATATATTGTTTTATCAAATGACTAATGAAAAAAGATAAAAAAAAAATGATTAAAATCCAATAGTAACCGGAAATAAAGTTTTTGAACTGAGGGAGTAATGTTCATTTACTCAGTGTTTGGTTGGAGGTAGGGCGAGGTAAGGTGAGGTAATTTTTACACTTTACCTCGTTTGGGAAGAAAAACCGAGTTAGGTCAGCGGAAGTAGAGGTAGGTAATCCTACCCATGAACAGTGTTTTTTTGTGACCGCCAATTTGGCTAACAACCCAGGTAATTAATTTTTGTTCCCTACTCTGCCCTTCTCGTATTCTCCAGCTTTGCATACGCCGGACCCATCTCCGATCTTCCTCTGCCGCAGGTTTTCTCTCCCTTCATCTTCCAATTTCTAAGTCTTCGTGTATTGATTTTTTTTGTTTTTTTTCTGTTTCCAAGTCTTCGTGTATTGATTTTTTTTGCTCTTCTTTTTTCTGTTTTTTATGTTTTTCTTATGCTGTTTTTTTCTAATTATTGAAATATCTTGCTTTTTTCTGGTTTTTTATGTTTTCTTTTCGGTTTTGTTTTTCAATTTTTTGGAGGGTTTTTTTTGCTGTTTTTTTTGGTTTTTTTCGTTGTATTTTTTTGCTTCTTTTTTATATTTTTTGTTTTTCATTTTTGGCTATTTTTCTTGTTTTTTGCTGTTACACAAATATTTGCTACGTGGGGATCCTGACGAGGCTTGGACTCCAGATGATGACGTAGAGGAGAATGAGAGTGAAACATGTAATAAAGAAAAACAAGCAAAAAGGGTATTTAAGTAATTTTATTGTTTTACCTACCTCTAATTACCTACGGAGTAATAAATATCCAAACACAAATTTTCACTGTATTACCTTCAATTACCTACCTAATAAAATTTTACCTGCCTCAATCCAAACATACCCTTAAGCTAATTTGGTTTAGGGCTCGGGGTCGTTCAGCTTGCCAAGCGTTACTTTAACATTTTAATTAAAAAGTTTTCGAGAATTTTTTTAACATTAGGGAAGTGACACAAATTCTTATACTTAGGGAATTTTTTTATACTCCCTCCGTCCCTAAATAAACTTTCCTTTTTGACTTTTTAAGGATTTAAGGAGTGATATTTTTGTGTTGACTTTCCAAAAATACTCTTTGATGTGATGTGTAAAAGTAAGATGTGATATGTACATTATTAATAAAAAGGTATAATGTGATAGCTAGAGCATGAAAAAGTAAGGGGTAAAAAGAGTTTTTTAAAAGAAAAGAGAAGTTTATTTGGGGACAAAGAAAAAACGAAAGGGGAAATTTATTTAAGGACGGAGGGAGTATAAACTTTTAACTGAAAAGCATTACTTTAACATTTTTCCACTCGGTGCAATTTTGTTATATAAAAAGTTTGGTGATGGAAGTGACACAAATTCTCATAGTGAATGACTGTAAGAGACTTGGGGCAATGTTTAGTCCTCTGCCATGGTCTATTTTGCAAGGACCATACTAGAGTGTCACCACATGGGTTCTACCATGAATGCATTCATGCTTCACACAGACAAACACAGACGATAATTGTCTGTGCGATACAGACAATTATCGTATGTGTTTGTGTTTGTCTGTGTGAAGCATGAGTGCACTCATGGTAGCACTCATGTGATGGCACCCTAGCATTTCCATTTTGCAATTCCCTACGCGAATCTCACAACTAATTGCTGCGATTCCTGCGAAGCATTCAAATATTTTAAGTTGAACATTCAAAAGTATGTGTCTTTTTGTGAAAAAGTGATAATGGTGTTGGCAAGAAGAAATCAAACGTCAAACCTTTCCTAACTTGATTAGCATCACCGAGATGTACTCCTACAAGTTTAGAAATAATTGTGAAAAGGTAATGATATATGTACGCAATGATTTACTTATGTCCTTTCACTCAAAATATTATTTCTAAAATGTCAAATATATTTTTAGTTGGGATTATTTTGAAAACGGAACATTAAAATCAAGTTTTGGAAAGTATCACAGGTCCTACGGTATCTGGGTACCGACAGCAACCAAGTGAACGTACCGTTGTACGTTTCACTTGGAAGTGAACACGGTATCCCCTACCGTAATCACGGTACCAAGGTACCGGTAGGCAGCGGAACGAAAGGCATGGACATTTGAAGCTAGGTTTCGCCAGCCTATTTCTCTATTCTTAAGTGTTTCTTAAAGCTTTATTCATATTTTTCTTACTCTTTTGAGTATAAAACTTTAACTATTTTTATACACTCACACACAAGGGCAATTGTTATTCATTATTTTTTTATCTTACCTATAGGCTTTGATTATTATTTAGTAGACAAGTTACAATAATTTCTATTGTTTTTGTTAAGGTGTGGATAACCTTTTAAATCCTCTTTGTAAAAGGTTGAAGATAACCTATAAATCTTTAGTTTGTAAGCGGTCGAGATATCCGTTGTAAAATCTCATTTGCTTATTGACAAATGGTCATTGTGATTATCACTAAAGTTTCAGTATATGTATGATTTCATCAACAAAGTCTAAAATCAACCCGAGCTAGGGGTTATATCTGTCCCTTAGACCCTACCAGGGGCTCCCGTCCCAAACATGTATTATGAAATATATAATATTGTTTAACGGGCATGCATTTCGTAGCTCTAGACTCGTTAATAATGTCTTTAAAGTTTTTGCCCCGTCTAAATAAACTTAACCAGATAAAATAGTTGGTGACATTTAGACCTGTGCAAATAAGAATCCGGGTCGGGCTTGATATAAATTATTAGCCCATTTACATGGGCAGGCCTAGCCCGTCCCGAATTTGTAAGCTAGTCACCACATTTATATAAAAACATAATAGAGATATTGTTGCATAATTAATAAATCCATCGTACCGATTAAGGAGCTGTTTGTTTCAGCTCTTAATGGTTTAGATGTCTGAATGGTTCAGCACTTAATGGTTCATACTGTTTGTTTCAGCCTCTTAATGATTTAGATGTCTGAATGGTTCAGCACTTAATGGTTCATACTGTTTGTTTCAGCCTCTTAATGATTTAGATGTCTGAATGGTTAAGAGATTTGCCTCTGAATGGTTAAGTATTAAACAGAGTCTGAATGGTTAAGACCTCTTATCTGAATTGATCAGACATTTGCCTCTGAATAGTTAAGCAATATACTAGCTCTTAATGGTTCAGACCTCTTACTGGTTCAGCACTTAATGGTTCAGACCTCTTACTGGTTTAGCATTTACCGATTCAGAAGTTGCCAAACAGCCCCTAAGTAAAAGAGTATTGATTTTTGTTTGAAAGAGATGAGTGAATTAAACTATTATACATGAATTATAGAAAATTTTAAAATTTATATTGGCTAGATAATTAAAATAAAATTAATATATTTGTTGAATATGGGCGGGCCTGTTGGCCCAGATGGGCTAAAAGTAATTTCCAGATCTGCCCATATACAATTCGGGGTGCTTGAGCCGACCCGCCCATTTGGGTATTAAAGGTTGTCGATATCCGCCCTTTTTAAATGACGGACTAGGCGGGCCGAACGAGCCGACCGTTGTTTGCACAGGTTTAGTGACATTAAATACCAAATTTTAGATTGAAGGATTATTTTTATCATATTTTATTAAAATGTTCTACTTTCTAACTTAATAATCATTATCTTAGTTGTTATAAAAATCATTACGTTAATTATATTTTTCTCACTGTAACACATTTTTAAAACAAAACATTTATTTTAAATCATTAAAAAAATTATTCAAACTTTTGTCTCAAAAAGTATTTATAAATTTTTAAAATTTTAAAACTATTTATAAATTAAAATATTTATAAATTTTTAAATATTTGAAAATTGAAAAAATGTATTATGAAATTAAAATTTTAAATTAAAATGATACAAAACACATATGATAAAATTGAAAATTAAAATGATTATATGTTCTGAAAAAATGTGTATTTTGCACAAAGATTTAACAAACTACTTTAATTCTATAAAGTTATTAACATATTAAACATTTATAAATACTTTAATTTTTTTTAAATATAAAGCTTAAAAAATATTTTTTAAGTAATTAAATAGTTTTTTTATTTTAAAATTGTTTTTTGTTATGAATATGTAAATAGGGTAATGATTTTTTATAATAGCTAAAATAATAATTATTTAACTTAAAAATTGAGAATTTTTATTAAAATATGATAAAATACTTAGAATAATAATTAATCAATGTGAAACTTAGTAATATGAGACTTGTGAGTTATTAATAGAAAACATGTGGTGCCTAGAGTAAACTTTTTGTGTTTTATTAATCAAAGTAATGAAACTTTCATTTTGTGTTTTAAATAAAAAAAAGAAGAAAAACTTGAAGAGCAGTCAGAAAATCTTCAATTTTGCCGGCGAAGTAGAATCGCCAAGAAAGACCATTTGCCCCCAAATCTTCACCTTCTGGTTTCCCCATCGGTTAAAGTTTGATGCCCAACTTGCAGATTTTTCTACTTCGGAAAAGTAAAACGAAATGGGTTCTTCTTCCACTCTGCATCCGATGTCTTCTTCCGCACAAGGTCAACTGAATCTTCTATTTTTTTTAATTTTATTTTTGTCTAATTATAGCATTACTGTTCTTATTTGATTTCAAATCTGCCAAAGTTTTGTACTCAGTCAAGTCTTCTCTTCCATTCATTCCATTCAGGCAGATATCTCTTCAAGATTTATAAATCCCCAGGAGTAATCTTTGCTCTGGACTATCATCTCTGGTTCTATGAGCTTCTGATTATCAAGCTTTCATTCCTGAAATCTAGGTGAATTCCCATACTTATTAGCAACCAGTTAGATTATAAAATATTTCTCGGGTCTTCGTTTACGATTTTGAGCTCTTGGTTGAGTTCGTTCTTTGATATTATATCATAACCATGTTGATGTTGGGGTAGAGGTAACTAGTTCGAATCTCATCGCTTTCCAGGTTTAAAAAGTTAATATTCAAGTGTGAAGAATAGTGGGATTTCATACTCAAATTAACTGGCAATGGAAGAAGTACTCCGTAATTCGGATTTTTATATATTAATATTTTTTCATATGGGTATTCATTTCGAGTTCGATTAGGGTCTTTTTGCCTCAAGTCACTTGCTTTTATTTGCCAGACATGAGCTTCTATTTTGAGCTCCAAGACTTGGCTCTGATACCATATACAATTATCATACTCCATCGTAAAACCAATTGGAAATGGAAGCAGTAACTCATACTCTTATATGTTACGGAGTAGTATTTTTTTACTTTTATTTTGTATGCCGGTTTGTTTGTTGTGTAATGCTTTTTTGTTGTAGTAATAAATGATACATCTTACCTCTCCAGGCCTTGCTATTGAGTGGGACACATTGGATTTGTTTGGTTTGGAGGAGGTTTCTAGTGTAGTCTAATGGCCCAATTATCATATTCGGAGTCAATGTCGGAGGGTTCGGGGCATGGACAAGGTGTCCAAGCTGTGCCATTTAAGACCTCTAATGGGTCTTTGAAGGTACTTTTATTACATGGGAATTTGGATATTTGGGTGAAGGGGGCCAAGAATTTGCCAAACATGGACATTTTTCACAACAAATTGGATTCTTTATTCGGGAAGTTGCCCGGAAAACTTGGGAGTAAAGTCGAGGAGAAGATAACCAGTGACCCTTATGTCACGGTTTCGGTGTCCAATGCCGTGATTGCCAGGACTTACGTGATCAGAAACAGTGAGGACCCTGTTTGGATGCAGCACTTTTATGTCCCCGTGGCACACCAGGCGTCCGAAGTTCATTTTGTTGTCAAGGACAACGACATCGTCGGCTCCCAGATCATGGGAGCAGCCGTGGTCCCCGTGGAGCAATTATATTCTGGTGGGAAAGTCGAGGGTGAGTTCCCGATCCTCAACTCCAACAGGAAACAGTGCAAGGCCGGGGCTGTACTGATTCTGTCGATTCAATACACTCCGATGCAAGCAGTCCCCCTTTACTACGGCGGCGTGGGAGCTGACCCCGAGTACCGGGGAGTCCCCGGTACATATTTCCCGCTCAGGCGAGGCGGGAGGGTAACTCTTTATCAAGATGCTCATGTCCCAGAGGGTAGCCTCCCGAATGTGTGGCTTGACAATGGGGTGCAGTTCCAGCACGGACAATGTTGGAACGATATATACCGTGCCATAAGTGGGGCCAGAAAGTTGATCTACATTGCCGGCTGGTCCGTCCACCATTTGGTTCGACTCGTTCGAGACGGCGATGGTGCGAAAGAAACCACTCTCGGGGATCTTCTCAAAATCAAGTCTCAAGAAGGTGTGAGGGTGCTACTACTTGTATGGGATGATCCTACTTCCAATAGCATTCTTGGGTACAAAACTGTAAGTACTAATTGCAAGAAAAGTGTTAACATTTTGAGTCTTTACCCTATGTATACTTTTTGTGCCAAGGCCTCTTGGAAACAGTCTCTCTACTTCCAAGTAGGGATAAGGTCTGAACAAGTACCTTCACCAAATTCTACTTTTGTGGGATCCTACTGGGTCTGAAGTTGTTCTTGTATAGGCCAAGATATTTAGCATTTACCCACCCCTAATATGTTGACCTAATTAAGTTAAAATAATGTTGCTTAATTATTAAAAAAATAAGATATATCTTATTTTTTATGACAAATAGGATGGAATTATGCAAACTAATGATGAGGAGACTCGTCGCTTCTTTAAGCATTCTTCTGTGCAAGTGCTGCTTTGTCCACGCGCTGCCGGAAAAGGACACAGTTGGGTCAAGAAAAAGGTTGTCTTTTTGTTCCATTCCTCGCGTTCATCCTCATGTATAAATCCTATTTTCATGCATAGACTTGCTTTAAAATCAACATTGAGGAACTCGTTTTTTTTGTTTTTTATTATTATAATTATCAGGAAACTGGGACAATCTACACGCATCACCAGAAAACGGTTATTGTGGACGCTGATGCAGGAAGCTATAGGAGAAATATCATAGCTTTTGTGGGGGGTCTTGATTTATGCAAGGGGCGGTATGATACCCCAAACCATCCTATTTTCAGCACGTTGCACACCGTGCACAAGGATGACTATCACAACCCGAATTTCACGGTAATCCCTCGATCTGTTCTTTGCAATGCTTGAGCAAAAGATACTTGGATCCAACCATACTAAAAGATCGAATCCAATCAATTAGTTATTTGTTTGTATGCACTCAAAATGTCATACTTTTTTCATTCGTATGTCATCTTTTAACTTGAATAGGGAAATACTACGGATTGCCCTAGAGAACCATGGCATGATTTGCACTGTCGTATTGAGGGCCCTGCTGCATATGATGTCCTAAAAAACTTTGAGGACCGTTGGTTGAAGGCGTCAAAACGACATGGGATTCAAAAGGTGAAAGCTTCGCAGGATGATGCATTGCTCAAACTCGAGAGGATCTCCGAGATTTTAGGAATATCAGATGCTGCTTGCCTAGATGATGATGATCCCGAGAGTTGGCATGTTCAGGTATCATTTTGCGCATGAATTATTAAAAATCACAGTAGTAAACTTTTTTTACCTTCACATGGCATGTGTGCCCTTGGATTACAGTAATGATACAATCAGTATAGAAACTCTGTGTGGAACGTGGGAGCATGTGTTTACTCTTTTGTTTATATATGATACCGAACAGATTTTCCGGTCCATTGACTCCAACTCTGTCAAAGGGTTCCCTAAAGATCCAAAAGATGCCACGGCCAAGGCAAGCCACCTTTTATGTTTCTGCATATATAGTGAATTGTTTGTCCTAAACATTTTTTGGATCAATTTTATCCTTCTTTGCTTCTATGTTTGAGCCTCTTAGAATTATTTTGTGATTAATGCTTCTATGTTTGACTCGGGGGTCTCTTGGAGACATCCTCTCTACTACCAAGTAGGGGTAAGGCTTGGGTACACGTTCCCTCCCCAAGCCCTACTTCTTGTGGGACTTTAGTGGGTTTCTTGTTTATCGATATCATTTTAAGAACTAACCAATTGAGGTGGAGTTATGTTGGTACATGCAGAACCTAATGTGTGGGAAGAACGTTTTGATAGACATGAGCATACACACTGCATACGTAAAGGCGATTCGTGCTGCCCAACACTTTATTTATATTGAGAACCAGTACTTCCTCGGCTCATCTTTCAACTGGAATAACTACAAAGATTTAGGTAAGATTTTCCTTTAAACAAAATTTATCTGCAAAATGATAGTAATTGGCATATAAGTTTCAACCATTTAAAGTGTGTTTTTTGCCTTAGTCTTTGAGTCTTGTTGCTAGTGTCGGCATGTGTGCATCTTATGTCTCTGCTCTTGGCTAGTTAGTTGCTTAGCTTGTGATAATAATTTCTCTATGTGTAAGGTTTGCGTACACACCCTCCCAAATCTTACTTTTGTAAAATTCTACCGGGTTTGTTGTTATTGTTGTTGTGTTCATTCCTATAAGTTACATCGTTTTCTTTTTAGTTCTCTGATCACCTTCGTTCAACATTTCCACGACAGTTTTGTTTCATTTTAAAAGCACAGATCTGTTCATGCATTGACAGGTGCAAACAATTTAATACCAATGGAAATTGCCCTCAAAATTGCTTATAAGATCAGGTCGGGTGAAAGATTTGCCGCGTACATTGTAGTGCCAATGTGGCCAGAGGGTGTTCCGACCAGTACACCAACTCAGAGGATTCTCTTTTGGCAGGTAGAGGCGTTTCGTTCATGTGATGAGTTCAAACTATAGATTCTTATGTAGATTCAAGAGCCATTTATATGTTGGTTTATATTTTTATACGAAATCGGTGTGAGATGACTTAACAACAAGATCGCGTTTGCAGTATAACACGATGCAGATGATGTACGAAGTCATATACAAAGCTTTAGTTGAGGTAGGGCTGGAAAAGACGTATGAACCCCAAGACTACTTGAATTTCTTTTGCCTTGGCACAAGAGAGGCCATTGATAACGCAACCGATTCAAATGGAACAAGTTCATCATTATCATCATTTTCATCATCAGCTAACACTCCCCAAGTATGTCATTCATCTTAAGATTAAACACCACTCTTCTATTGTGTTTTCTCGATTTGGTTTTTGTTAGGTTACAAAGCCTTGCGTGACCTACAACCACAAGCATAAGATTTTAGTTGTGTTGGTTTCTTGACATGGTATCATAGCCTTGTTGATGTAGAGGTCACAAGTTGGGGGACATACCTTATTAGGACTAAAACATCTCTATATACCAAAATGTGGCCTTCAATGTTTTATACCAAAATAATACTTATAGTGCCAAACATAATGTCAAAAAATATTGTGAGATTCCAACACACAATGCCAAATTGTGAGCATTTCACATGGTGACGAGTCAGTTTTAGTGGTAGTAAATTTCACTTAAAAAGAGTTACATTTATTCCCGTGTCGTATTCACGTGGATTGGTGTAAAAATAATTTTTCTATTAAAATTTAGCTAGACAAAGTTTACTCATTGGTGTTGGAAGCCTTCTAAATTCGAAAAGTTTTGTTGATTGAAAGTGAGTTTGGCAAAGTAACAATTTGATTTGTTTGACAAAAAGAGAATATGAATTGATTTCAGATTGTAGGAATTTTTCAGATAATTTAACTGGTTGGATTATTAAATTAACTAATTAATTCAACAAGTGAGGTGTCTGTCACAATTACTCAATTATTAATGTGCTAGAATTGGTTGACTAAATTATTTTTCTCATTCATAGACAAATGGACATAATAATTTTTTAAGGATTAATTAAGAAATTGGCTAGATTAATTAATTATAATATTACAACAAAATCTAGCAACCTAGCATTTTAATTAATTAAATTTAATATTCCAACATAATTAATTTTCCTACATGCCTACAACCCTAATTTCAATTCACATCCCTAATATATTTAGAAAGACAAAATAGTAATAAGAAGTGCACAAATTAAATGACAAAACATCTTTATAAAATTATTCAAAAGTTACAGCATCCAAAGAAGCGAAATATGAACAGATCTAGAATAGAAACTCCGAAATAAACTAAAAACTGATTTATTTTATGTTTTTGTTCGCCCTCATAGAGAAGAAAACCAAGCTGTGATGATTTTTTTTCTTCTTCCGCCGGATCGCTTTATATAGGGGGACGGATCTCTTGGGCTGGGTGTTGGGCAGCCGCCCAGTTGGTTGCCCGAGGTTCGCCCACCATTTTTGTCCCACGGTTTCAAAAAATAGCCAACGTGATGTCAGACGCAGACGCACAAATCCCGGGGCTTGGTCTTGGGCGGTCGGCGGTTGCCCGGCATATCGCCCCAGGAGGAATATTCGAATATACACTGGAAGTTGTCGCCAGCTGTCATTTTTTGTGTCTGAAATTCGGGGCTAGGTCCGGGGCGGTCGCCTAACCCAATTGACGCCTTTTTACTCCAAATTCCTGTGGCGAGCTCTACATTTTGTGTTGGACATTTTTCCCTTCGGGAGCTACGGGCAAATTTGAGCCTAATATCTAAAAAAAATATTTTCTTCGGAGTTTTACTCCGTTTGGCCTAGTTTTTGTTTGAAAATTCTAAATTTGTTTTGAACACACTTTTTATAAACAATATGAAAACTTTGTGATATTTACAAAAGAAAATTATTATTTTTATCCGAAATTAAATTTATTTACACATAGAAACATTTAAACATGAGTAAAATAATAAGTACAAAATGTACTTATCACATGGCTAATACTCCTATCAGGTGAAAGGTTTTATTTTTGAACAAGTTCCATGTTTTAGTCTTATTTAGATAGATTTCTTGTCATGAGGGGCAACCCTTTCTAGCCTACAACCACAACCTTAATTAAGCTGTTGGTTGAGTTGAGTTTCTTAACACTATGATTGGTTCAAGGAATTTGGAAGAAAAGAAAAGAAAATAGTTTTCTCTCACTTTTCCTCACCAAAATGGGAGAAATTTGGTTTTCCTTCTTCTTAATAAATTTTGCCTTCTCATTTTCTTTTCTTTTCCTCTCTAACCAAACCAGAAAAAAACTGTTTTCCGTCCCCTTTCCTCTCTTCTCCCTTTCAAATTCCTTGTGCCAAACATAGTGTAAGAGTTTTGGTCATGGTTTATGAATTATGGTGTGGAATACCTTCCTTTGTTCAGGCGCTCTCCCAGAGAAGTCGACGTTTCATGATATACGTCCATTCGAAAGGGATGATTGTGGATGATGAGTTTGTGATCTTGGGGTCGGCTAACATCAACCAACGCTCCTTGGAGGGCACCCGAGACACTGAAATCGCAATGGGAGGATATCAGCCTGATCACACCTGGGCTAACAAAAACTGTAGACCACACGGCCAGGTAATCACCTACATATATAATGTTTCCAGTGGTTTGACTGTTTCGGAAAATAGACGTTGTCAAAGAAAAATGTGTCTTTTTTGGAGGAATAAATGGTTTTTCACTTTTTCCAGCAGAAGACATTTTCCACCCTTTTATTTTCTTAGATCGAAACTTATCACGTTTTATTATCTTATAATAAAAACAGAAAACAAGTTTTTTAAAATACTTTTTCAAACTTTTAACCAAACACTAGAAAGTGAATTCATTTTCTATAAGTAATCTTTCAGAACTCATTTTCCACAAACATTTTCAAGAAATCGTCTTCCATTTATCCGAATTGAGTCTTAACTGAAAAGCGTTACTTTAACATTAGGGATACCTCAAAGGCTAACACAGTCAGTGTTTTGGTACTCACGCACAGTAACGGGTGTTGACTATGACACGCTGGTGGCTAGTGGTGTCAAGTTCGGTGTCATCCATTATGTTTTTTTTACTCGAAGTATTTAAAAATTGGGTAACGGTGAGGTTTACCTTGTCAAAAAAACCAATTCAACCCAAAAACTCAAACTTGTGGTTATAGACCCAAAAAAATACTCTAACAAACAACCAAACGGAATGCAGATATACGGATACAGGATGTCACTATGGGCCGAGCATCTCGCGACGGTGGAAGCGTGCTTTGAGCAACCAGAGAGCGTGGAATGCGTGAGGAGGGTGAGGGCCCATGGCGAGCACAACTGGCGGCAATATGCGGCGGAGGAAGTGGCAGAGATGAAGGGCCACCTCCTCAAGTACCCTGTCGAGGTCGACAAGTCCGGGAAGGTGAAGTCGATGCCCGGATGCCCGAACTTCCCCGACATCGGAGGGAAGATCACCGGTACGTTCCTCGGCGTCCAAGAAAATCTCACCATTTGAATGGTATATATGGGATTTGCATTGTTTTCAATTTTCCATAGTTTGTATGTTTGGCACAAATTGTTAGAAAAGAGAGAAACACACGTATTTATTTTTTGGTCACGGCTTATTTTAACTTTTTTGGGACTATCTCAAAGGTGTGACATTATTTTTGAGACGAGGATTGTAGTAATTAGCATTTCCATTGCAAATGCATGTGTTTTTGTTGCACGTTTAGCTACAGTTTTAAAATTTAATTCAAGTGTTTTAAAATCATTGTCCAGATAACTTTGATTTATTTATGCGTTTTTATTAATTATTTGATAAAATAAATTATCTTTGTTGCAACTTGTTTTATAGAATTTTTAAGTAGTTTTAAAATATGCAATTTGTACTTATTATATATATATACACTAATTTATATATAAATAATTTTTTTAAAAAAAATATCAGATTTTGGACATTATTCGTTTTGCCTTGGCCACCGCTGCTCCTCTAGCTTCTACTTAGATCGACAAGTCTCCTTAGACTGCGCCGGTGGTGGACTTAGCATCTGGCACCTCTGCATTGGCGTCTCATCACTATGTTGTTGTCTCACATCTCCAAACCATATCAATCTAGTTTTCTGCAACTTATCTTCTACCAGTTCCACTCTCGCCTTTCCACGGAAAACCTTGTTCTGAATGCTAACTTCCCTTTCCACACGTCCACTGTAGCATTCACATCTCTGATCTGCAGCATGCAGTTGAAGAACATGTGTTTTCTTAACTGCCCAACACCCAGCACGGTACAACATAGCTGGCCTGACTACTTACTCTGAAAATAATGAGATCGCCTGAAAATGAGAGAGTTGGACAAGAAGAATATATGCGTGAAATATTATACTTCCACTATTTTAGGATAATATACAAAAAAATCTCTTCCTGTTTACATGACTAAATATCACATTCATAAATAGTTTTTCCGCATCTTATGTCCGGATGCATTTTTTTCGAGTAATTAAATATTAATTACATACACTCACCTATATACATCAAGATCCTTATTTCCCATCTCTCCCACAAAAGAGATTTTCCTTATAGAGAGCACCAATGAGTTTATTACAATGATTATCTCTATGGTACGGTAGATGCGTACTGTTATCCCATCTGCTTTCAAAACTTACTTCATTACCCATCTCATGAATTCAAAATCTTATACACCAATGGCCCCTCCTTCTGATAAAATTATGAATTTAATTGAACATTGTGTGTTATAAAAGAGCTTGACATACGAGTATATATATACTCCCTCCATTTTCAAAAATATTTCCTCTTTCATTTTTCTCACTTCCACTTTTTATTAAAAACCCACTTTTACCCTTTTTTTCATACCTTACCTATTACATCATCTTTTTTCTTTAATAATTTATCCATCACATCAAGGGTAAAATTGGAAGTCAACTATAATTTAAAACTTTCTTATTTTTATACTTGGTCAAAATAGGAACTCTTTTTTAGAACAGAGGAAGTATATTTTTTGTGTTTTTGAACTTGGATGTACAATAACACTCTTTTAGCACTATTCATATACTTCATATTTAACCTAATATTTTCTAGAGAACTACACATATGTTTGAATAGAAAATAAAAAAGGAAATTATATTTTAAAATTGTGGAGGCTCATTGACTATAACAGTCTAAATTTATTTCAATTCAACTTATTCAAAATATGAGTTAAAATATATGATAAAAGGTGTATATTAATTAGTACTCCTTCCGTCCTTGAAAACTCTTCCTATTTTGTCTTTTTGGTCGAACAGTTACACTCTTTGACTTCAAAGGAAGCATATTCTGAATAAATAAATGTTATAAAAATTTAATATGTCAAAACTATATCCTAAGATGTAGCCAATTATATTAAATTTATATTATAATTCAATATATTTTTCTCACAATTTGTAGTAAAGAATTGTCACTGTTTGACAAAAAAGTCAAAACGGAAAAAGTTTCCAGAGACGGAGGAAGTAAAAATAAGTCAATTTCTTAAAAAATGATTAAGCCATCAAAGATTTCATAACTAAGAGAATAAACAAAGTAAAATTTGAAAGTATATGATAGGAAGATGCATATTTTTCAAACCAAAGCAATAAACTCGAGAACCAACCGAGAGATAGAGAAAAATAGCCAGGCCAACTAATTACAAAACCATGCATCACAATTTTGCCAAAAACTTGACAAAGCACACATCACTTTCTGCATATGCAATGATGTACCATGCAATTTCTTTTTTATTTATTCTTCCATTATCTTTATTTATTATTTAATCAATTCTCAACAAGTTATTATTGAGACAATCATTTAAAAAAAATTAAATCTAATCTATCGATTAGTTCAACTCAAGAACTTATATACCTATTATTTTTTTCTTCAACTTCTGATGTGAGATACTTTAACATATTTAGCATTTGCCCCTCACCAAGTTTAGTTCAGCCAAGTGCAATAAAATTCAGTACAAAAAGAAGAGACTTTGGCAAAATATTATTATTGGTTTGAGCCATAAAATGCACATCACAGCATAGAATCATACATGATAAACAACACAGTTCTAGTGGTCTTCAAATGTGTGGCATCTCGACAAATTGCATTTCAATAAAAGAAAAATTATTACATAGTGAAAGAAACTACACAAACTATAATGAACCTTTGAAACCAGAAAATCCATCCCAACAAACTGAACTGGCACAGACAGACACACGACTAATACCGTTGAATCGTTTCATTTTTTTTGGGCGGGCGTAGGAAGGAATCAGTGAAGACCGTTGGCAACGGTCGAGTCCTTTGGTTTTTGGGCGTAGAATCGTCGGTACTTGGAATCAACGTGGGTGAGATAGTAGGTTCCTGGAGCTAGGTTGCTGCAGTCCTTGTTAGTCACGAAGTCCTTCCCCCCGTACCTGTGCTCCATTACTTTCAGTACTTCGATGAACTCTTCTGGATTCGTCTGCACCACAAACAAAAAAAGTTGTGTATCGAAATTGATCAGATGAGAAACAAGAATCTTATTTTGGAGCGGACAGAAAGGAATTGGAACACAATTGCGTGAATCTTTTTCGGGGGCAGGAGTTGGTGGGAAGAAAACATCCTTGCACACCGGGAGGAAGAGGAACCAGAATAAATAGGTACAACTCAACCCATTAGTATGAAGTCTTTCGGGAAGTGCCCAAAAACAAAACCGTGAGGGTTATCATCATACAAATGCGGGATTGGGGTGAGAGTACATGTGGTCCCAACATGAATATAAACATGTGTGTTATGTATTCATGAAGGATGCAAGTTCATCCTAGAAAAATTAATGTAACATGAAATCCTCACAAATAAGCACGCATTATTTCATTAGAACATATGAAGTGAAGGAAGAAACATGGATGAAGGGACAACTCCATAATATACCTCGTGCCTTGTCTTCAACTTCCCATCAACATTCAAGACAGTTGCAATGTTGGACAAGCTGAATGGATGTTGCCCCTCCCTCAGGCGGAGTGAAAACATTGTGGCAGTCAATCCACTCCCGTATGAGAACATTATCACCCGTTGTCCCGGCTGAAATGACAAAACCATTCCAATTTAAGGACAAAATGCACTGATCAGTTAAGTAAAAAGGACAAGAAAAACAACCAAGGGTCTGGATGGATGTTTTGACAGGTTTAGAGGATAAGGTTTAAGTCAGTGTATCTTTAATAAGTAGAATGCTTTAAAAAACTAATGGAGGTTAATTGCTATATAATGTGATCACATATTATGTTAATCTTTCAGTTTTTGTAAAATCTAAAATGTGTATGCAGATATAAACCAAGACCTCCAAACCCCTCCATCCAAATACATAGACCCTAACAGGTAAGTAACTGATATATATACCAGGGTGGTGTGCTTGTTGTGGAGAAGGGAGATGAACGCAGCGTAGAGAGATGCAGTGTACATGTTGCCAACTTGTTTGGGTACCAATGTTGTTGGCTGCACCTTTTCATCATAGAATGGTTTGGCAACTTGTTGTGATGCCTGTTTATAGGACACATCCATGAACTAGCTAGTTAGCACCCACTCCAACGTCAATAGGAAACAATCTATAGGAATAAAGAAGAGTGAGCAATTATTATTCAAATGCGGGACCTTTTCAAGATCACGACTTGAGTAACTCTCATCGCTTGTTAAGGATGCAAACGGCGCCAGTTTTTCCTTTGAAGCCTCATCAATGTAGCTGAATATTTCAAAACACGCACAAAAAAGGTCAATAGATGAAAAAATACAACTTGAAAGCATCGTTGCAACAAAAAACATCTAGGCACTAAGTTGTCTTTTGGCCACCTATGTCTTTTTTCACACTTATGCCCCCGCCTAATTCTACTAGGGTCCAGTTTGGTGAAGATTATAGCATTTGGTAAAATCGATTTCAGCCAAATAAGTTAAAGGCTAAGCTGTCACCCAGCATTCTTTACAGCATTGCCAGAACTTTTCATCCTTGAAAGTTCTACAAATGCAATATATTACCAATGTCTATTCGTCTCACCTGGCATTCCTCACAACATCATTGAATATCAGTCTAGCAAAACTCTTCTGTACAAGCTGCAGAATATGAGATTGCGTGTTATATATTTACCAATAATGGTACCCTCACTTTAGTTCACACAAAAGGGTAGAAATGGTAATATGATACCCTAACTAGTAAATTATAGACTGAATCACACAACGCACAACCAATTACCTTGTTGTAAGGAGAGTGGAAGACAAAGTAGCTAGCATCAGCCACAGAAAACGGCTTGCCCTCTGTCTTTTCATGTCTACATATTATATATGGAAGAGAAAGCAGCGATCAAAAACAGAGTTTTCCTTATTGCTCATGTATAATTATGCACGGTAATTGAAACCATTTCTTACTTATGGCAAAAGCTCTTGTAGCACGAATCAAGGGCCATGAGATAACATGTTTGTGAAAGCTTACCATCAACAACCTGTGCACAAAAACAGAAAATCAATTTCATATAAGTAATTACTCCGTAGATTGTAACTTCCATGTGAATAGCATGCATATCACTAATTCCACACCCATACCTACAAAACAAAATAAAAGATCTCAGAGAAAAGACAAAAGGGGTATTACCGGATATTCACTGTCAAGGATAGGCTTGTAAAAATCATAAGCATGAGCCATATGACTAGCACGCAACTTGCTCTCAAACACAATAGGAGCATCCGGTCCTATTAGCATAGCAATGGCTGCTGCTCCTCCAGTTGGCCGAGCAGGCCCATCAGCATAGACCTGTCAAAAGGTTCTTCACAATAAGCCAATGCCATTTCTACTGCTATTTCTATTCCAAATTTTCCAGTTAACAAGATAATTCATACTCCTAAATTAAGAACCCTCTTTCAAGAACCTTTTGTTCCAAAAAGAGCTCAGTTTTAAAAGTTTTCTGTTTTTTTGATATAATTCAGGTAAACCAAGCATCGGGTGGACGGGTAGTTTTAATCAGTTGCTTTAAACAATCTTGAAAAGTAAGGGTTAGGAGTAGATGTAACCATTCAGAACTTGCAGAAACTTATAACTTACTGTGACCATTTTTATGACCATTTTTTATATCATTATCATCAAAGAAACAATATTCAATATATTTTCTCTATCAGTTTGGTAGTGATCAAAGAACAAAGAACCAAACTTCACATGTTAACGATCATCCAAATGTAGGAGATAATTATATCAAGGTAATAATCATACCGCACTATCAGTGCATACCACCAGGCCATAACGTCCATCCCATGAACTGCTTTCAACCCAATTCACACAATTAAATAACGCAGCTGTTCCTCCATAGCATGCATTAGTTGAGTCTACACCTTCAATGTCAGTGTTTCCAAATTCCTGTTGGTCCATATATCAAGAAAAAAGGATAAGCTTTTTTATGGCAATCAACATTATTTAGGAAGTACGGAGTAATAAACACTAAACATGGATTATCCTAGGATCTTTTACACAATCAATTTAACAGTGTCACATTATCTTGCTGCTGCCTGGCTATTCTAGTTTGGGTGTTGCATGACCGAATGAGGCCTTGGCTCATTTCCTTTTATTTTCAAGTCCACAACAACAGTAATACTAAAATTTGGTAGAGAAATTCCATACAGTCCATTTCATTATTAGTAGTCAAAACAGTGGCATTTTAAGTGAGATGAACATTGGTACCTCAAAAATTTGCATCAGGAAAGTTTTGATTGACTTGCTTTTGTCAATAACGGTCTCACTTCCAACTTCTAGTCTACCAATTTTCTTTGGATCAACTTCGTACTTCTCGAGAAGTGAGCTAACCGCGGTCAAACTGTAGATCAACAAACCAATTAGTTAACCACATGGGATCAACACATTGTAGTACTTTGCATGAGTTTGGCAGGAGCACATTATATTACACATAGAGCAACTTATTTTCCTCAAAAGCATTTTCCACTACACAACATTTCCCTTAAAAAATTAGATCAAAAGAAAGTTATTTTCATGCAATAGAACGAAGTATTAGCCCGCGTCGTGAATTTATCAAACTAATCAAAGCACAGGCCCAGCAAAGGGATTGTCTCACCAGTCACCACAACAGTTGTTTAGGGTTAGAGTTGATACCTCATGGATATGACATCTTCCACCTCACTACAGAAAGCCATGCAATCTTGGCCAAGACCAATTGTGTATTTACCTTTGCTTGCTCCATCATGAGCCTCTAATGCTTCCTATATTGAGAGATTACCAGAGCTAAATATTCAAGTAATAGTAAATAACTATAGACCAATATAGAATAAGACTCAACAGAAACACAAAGACCATAAAAATGCCACCATAAGCATCTTAGCAATGGAGATAATGGGTGCATTTGAAAAATAACAGTTAGCAGATACAGATAGCAATTCGTAGTTTGTATTAGCATGTTTGACTAGCAGACATCAATTTATAAAAAAACAAAAAGTTTGGTAATACATTGTTTTTCAAAATGTTGAAATCGGCACGTTGCTGACTCAATATGCTAATTCGCCAAACACCTCAAATATCATTTTCTATTTTGGGTCAAGATGCTGAAAACAGCATAATTCTAAACAAAATAGTGTTTACAGAACATCCAATTTAGATTTTGAATCAAATTTTCTGATGGGTTGAAAAATGTTCAGTATCATTTATTGTTATTACTAAAGCACTCAATCTCATTCTTCTTCCGCAAAAAAAAACCCTAAAAATAAAATAAAAAAGTTTCAAAACTCAAAATTCGTTTCAGAAGATAAAAAAACCACGAGGCATTAAGAATAAACCAAAAGGCGTAGAATCTAAAGCCGGAACGAGCGTACCTGCTGGACGCAGGCGGGAGGGAAGTAAATCTCAACACCGAGAATCCCGACATTCTTCTGCTGGGAAGCCATTTTTAAGATTCCGGCAAGGGGACAGATCCGGAGACCGAGATGAGAAACAGCGGCGGCGCGTTTCGCTCTACCTCACCACACTCGCCGGGATGAGACCGGAGGAGGAGGAGAAGAGAGNCCGGAGCGAGTGGACTCGGTGAGTTGGTGGTTCGGAGAATAGCGAGTTGATGCCTGTCACCGGTTTCCGTTAGACGCGGGCATATTTATAGGAGCGCCATTTCGCCGTCCATTTCATTTTCCCCTTTTTTCCAGCCCCCAAATGCAGACTTCGTGACGGCCAACAAAACATATTCAACTCTATTATTTGTTTGATTATTTATTTTATTACCATAATGGTCCCAAAATAAATTTTGTTTTTGACAAAATAAATAAGTGCAATTAATATTTATCTTTAAAAAAATAAGTAGCATAAATAATATTCCTTCCCTTCAAATTTATTTATTCATGTTAAGTGAACAATGACCATAGTACCATACTCTATTTTTGGTACAATTATATTTATTGCAAAATAAAAAGTGAACAAAAATATAATTTTGGACAATAAAAAATAAAAAATAAGTGTAAAACTAAATCCAGACGAATGAGGAATATTTTTTTAAAAGATAAAAAAGATATTTTTTTTCAAGAATAAATGTAAAAAAAACAGTGTATTTTGTTGAAAGTAACACGAACCAAAAGTATGTAGGATTAAAATGACCGGAAAATGACCAGTGGGGATGCATGTGCAATGTTTTGAAACCATGCAGATTCTAGAAAGAAGTTTTGAAAACAGATGAGGTATTGGTGCCAATTTTTTCAAACGACAAGGCTGGCGCTATTTGGCCTACGAACAAAAACCTGAAAAAATACCTCATACGACTAAAAACATTTTTTACATTCATCATTCGCACGATCAAATTTTATTTATCTCATTTGCTTACTTTTCACTACTCGGTTTATAACATAATCTATCCTGTTATAGTGTTATCTCTTGTAGAATTTTTTATACGATTTTTAAATATATATTTCCCCGTCTCATTATATTCGCCTAATTAGACTTTTTCGAGTCAAATTATGTGAATTTTAACCATTTATTACTTTTAATTTGTAACGACTTAAAATTTTTACATTTCTCACCCGTATTCAAAATTTTGAAAAAAAATGATATAGTGGCGACTTGAAGGTGCATTGTATTTACAGCGCGCACGTACTAAAGTGTTTTTTCCTACCAAACACTATTGCTTTCTTTCATTTAATTAGAAATTTGTTTTAAGAACATTTTAAATATCTTAAATTTTTTTAAAAAAAATAGTTGAAGACTTGGAGCAATCATTTGGTCAAACATAACACACCCAAAAACAATGTTTTCTAAAAGATTAATTATGAGAAGGAAAAAATGCAACTCTCTTTGCAATGTACATGTACAACTGAGGTATATTTTAGAAAATCATACACAAATTGTTCTGTCCCAGTATATTTATTAGAATTGATTTTTTTGAATCAAGTTGGACAGAATTTAATTATTAATTTTTCTCTGATTGTATTGCATATTAATATAGTGAAATATGCACTAAATAGTATTAAGAGGGTGTTTGGGAGTAATTAACTTATAGATAAAGTGATTTTCACAAAAGCTGAAAGCAAAAGAACCTCATACCCGCTTTTCCAAAACGGTGTTCTATGTACAAGATAGTGGTGATGAAAAACAGAAGCTGACATGCCAAACAGAGTAAAATCACTTTCACTCAAAATAGAAGCTAATTTATTAAAAGCAGTGCACTGCCAAACAACCTCTAAAACATATATTTTTTCAGCTTTTTTTCATGGGAGGTATCCTAACGTTGAGTCGTGTAACAAAAAGATACATCATCTTCAACTTGTAACAAAAAAGTAAATTATCCTTAAAGCATGTAACAAAAAAATACCCATTGGTGAAATTTTGACATGCAAATTAACTTGGAACTTCTCTTATGTGTGATTAACTTTGTATTTGGCGCATATAAAATCAAGTTTTAGTTTTTTAAAAAATTATATTTTATTTATATAGTATCATTTTTTTAAAATTTAAAAAATGTTTAAAGCCAAACTAGCGAGTACTTTTTAAATAATTGTCTTTGTTGTAATTAAAAATGCTGAGTTTCTTATTTATTTAAATTTTAAAATATTTACAATCTTATAATATTATTGCTACTTATGTTTAAAATACGTAGTATCTTGTAAATTATAAATTTTTTAAAATACTAAAATAAAATAAAAATCTTATAGAAAGCATGAGGTTAAAATAAAATTGAAATATACTTCGTAAAATATACTTTCATTACAAGAAAAACAGATCGTGACGTATAGGAGATGAACCATAGCTTAAGGAGAGGGCTGCCAACACGTTTGTCCTCGTGATCTCGATGGAGATGTGATAGGCGAAGCGGATCTATACAGGGTATGAGTTAGAAATCCTAGATTAGAAGTTTTGTCATAACAATTCGTAGAAGTGTGCCTCATCATGTTGTTATGTACCGGTGTAACTTGCATCTAGTGATTTAGTGGAGGGCTATTACACGGACGTGGGCCCCGCATAGTAGGAGAGTTCTCCGAACTACGTAAACATATGTGGTGTTATTTTTACGCATTTTATAGTTACAGCATTCTGCCCAGTTGGCGCTGTAACGCCCTCTGCATCATCTGCTTCTGTGTGTGCTTGTGACAAAGAAGTGTTATAGCACACTTTCTGTCATCTGTTACTGTGACAGTGCTGCAATATCTTCTCTACAGCATATAGTTGTTTGATTTGTTTGCATATCTTGCAATTGGTGATTTCCGATGCGCCCCCGACGAACTTACAATCGGTATCAGAGCGGTTGAGCTTATGTTATTAGCTTGATCTTTGGGTAGTTCGTTGCAAACAATCATGACGATGTAAACAAGATTTAGCGCACTTTATGAAGCAAGATGGGGTTATGTTGCATATCCTGAGGGGGAGTAAATTGCAAAAAGGGATGGAGCTCCAGCATAAAATTCATATGGGAAGCATGTGCATGGAGCTTAATGGTAGATTTTATTTGTTTTCCACTTGTTATTGTTGTATGCTCTAAATGAGAATGGCATATTGTGTCAAAAAGGGGGAGAAAAAGGCTTAGTTCTTAAAAGATGCTTTAATCTTTTATGCGCATTGTGCACGATGTATTTTTCCAAAAAATTGCCAAAGGGGGAGATTGTTAATTCCATGGTGTTAGCTAATCTTTTGGCAAAAATAGAATCCCATATTTGTTAGGTGTTTTATTAGGTAGAAACCTCTATTTGTTAGGAGAGGTTTATTTTATTGACCTCTAGAGTTGCTGCAGTTTTCAAAGTTGACAAGGAAGATGCTACAACACGATGCTGCAACACACTGTTCGGGATCAGAGGTCTGAGCACGGGATTTTAAGCTGCAATCTGAATTAGAAACCTATTGGATTGTGACAACATGATAATAACTCAAGGTGTACGTTAAGGAATCCCAACTCTTTAGGCTACTTGTGGATAGAGATTAAGGAAGTTGAGTTCAAGCCAACTTCTACTAACATATTCCTACTAGGATTGTGTCAAGAGAAGCCTATAAAAACGCAGCAGATCCCCGAGAATTACTTGGAGCGATCGAGAGGGAAAACAAAGAAAATATGCTGATGTAGAGCATTCCCGTCGCGTCTCGAAGCTTCCCATGCGTGAAGAAGATTACGATCTACATGAAGTAGGAGATCTTCAACGCCAAACAGATCGTGACGTATAAGAGATGAACCAGAGCTTAAGGAGAGGGCTGCCAACACGTTTGTCCTCATGATCTCGATGGAGATGTGATAGCCGAAGCGGATCTGTACAGGGTACATGTTAGATGTGAGTAGTTATCAAATCTTAAAATCGTGACGTATAGGAGATGTGAGTATTTATCAAATTTTAAATTTTTTAAGTTCATTATTTTCAACCTCTCACCTGTAATTGAATAATATATACTCAGGAAAGGAGAGAGTGTTAATTACAGAGTAATAAATTCAATGATCTTTTTAAAATACTAGTATTTTTATTCGCTGAGAGCCCGAGATGTGTGCCAAGCTAAGGAGCCACCTCTCTTGAGGCTCGAGGTCACTCTCGTCAAACCCACCGTATCCATCTATGTTTATTTCTTCAAATACATTATAAGCCGTATTCTTCGTCTTCAAAAACCAACGTGCCCTCCCCCATGTGAAACTGGTAATTAGGACTATATCTAGAGCGAAGACATGTTTCATCGTAGGTATGATTATGTAGTAGTTGGTAGACGTTTTCTTATATTTTATAGAATTAGGATTAATGTGGGTCATTCAAATATTAATGTTTCATTAAGTGAATGAATTGCAGTTTGATTTCCATTGAATTGAATTGACTGAAACTGTGATTGACCTAAAAAGGTTAAAATTTGTTGGTGAATAAAATAAAAAATCACAAGTTTGACGGAAGTGGCACCAACAATCACTTACAACGAATTTTACCTAACCTTTGGATATTTTTTGAAAAAGTGAGACCTCGCAGTTATAAACACAAAATCTAGGGTACCGAGGAGTCATTTTTTGGAAAATAAAGATGGAAATTTTAGAGAAAGAAAATAAAAAAAATTCTCCTCTTGTTGGGATATTTTAGGGTACTTGGAAGAAAAATAAATTTATTTTACATCCTAATTAATAGGGTGAATAAAAAATTATTTATTATTTGGATATCCTCACGTTTTTGAAATCTCAAAAGAGTTGACTATCATTAAAGCAGCACACACACCATACAACAACAGTACACAACTTGTTACATCACGTGTTAATACGTAACATATTGCACACCGTGCTATAACAATCTCTACGTCACAAGTAATAAATCAACTAGAACAAAACACGCACACAAAATTGTTTGGCAACAAACTCGATTTGTGCACGATTACCTTAGTTTATCACATCTTCTCCGAGATCTTTTCCGAGAACATGTTACTGACCTTGTTTCAAAATACTGAGAATCACCTTTGATAGAATTTAGGATGGGTATGGACAACTGGATTGGGCAATAAGACACTTGGGCTGAACCACATTAAAAGATTGAATCCAATCAATTAGTTAGTTCAACTCAAGAGCTTATATACCGATTATTTTGTTCTTGAACTTCCAATGTGGGATGACAAATATCTTTGTCTTCCCAGCAACACGGCTGTTATGACCTTATCCCAGATATCAACATGAAATAAACAATCTCACATAAGTATAGCTTGATGAACTATCTCTCTTAGAGATGAATTGCTCTCTCGATTTATATAAAATCTTTCTCTCAATTTCTCTAGTTCGAAGGAGCAGGATCACAGGTTTTATACATCACAAAAGCAACCCTAGTAGAGTCCTATTTGAAGACTATCACCTAATGCATAATGGTGTTAATAATCCTTCATAGATTTGCTTGCAAACCAGAACTCTATCACAAAGAGTTCTAATGTTAGCAGAGTCCTGGCGTTGTTGTGAAGTGATCACGGCTTACTTGAAATGCTCTCTATGAAATACTTGCAAGGAGCGAGTCACCAAAAATTGGACTCTCTTGTAGCTTAAGATGGCATGTAGGATGCTACAACTCTATATAATACTCAAAACGACTAACTACACAAAACAGATCTACATACTTATTTTTCAAAAAATAATACCAACATGAGTTATATTACATGATTGCACAATGTCACATTAAAAACGAAAACAACGTATTACATTATTTTTGCATAGTAGATAAATGTGATGACAAAAAACAAAAACATCGTATTCACATCAATTATATTCTCAGAAATTATTTTAGTAGAGTCCTGTTTGAAGATTATCACCCAACGCATAATGGTGTTAATAATCCTTCATAGATTTGCTTCTGAACCAAAACTCTATCACAAAGTGTTCTAATGTAGGCAGAGTCCTGACGTTGTTGTGAAGTGATCACGGCTTACTCGAACTGCTCTCTATGAAATACTTGCACGGAGTGAGTCACCAAAAGCTGGACTCTCTTGTAGCTTAAGATAGCGGATAGGATGCTACAGCTCTATATAATACTCAAAACGGATCTACATACTTATTTTTTTCAAAAAATAATGCCAACAGGAGTTATACTACATGATTGCACAATGTCACATTGAAAACGAAAACAACGTATTGCATTATTTGCATAGTAAATAAATGGGATAACAAAAAACAAAAACATTGTATTCACCCACATCAATTATATTCTCAAAATTTATTCTAGAGTACTCCCGATTTTCTCTTAAGAATTTATAATAGATCCTATATTATGTGAAATATACTTTGGGTACCTTTGATTTTTCTAGTAAGAACTTGTAGGTCGGTAGCACATCATGTGAAATATACTTCGGGGGTCCTTATAATGTGTGGTAATGTACTCCGAGGGTACATTCTCTCTATTTGGACATTGGGATTGAAAACTCTGTTACTTTGACAAATACGAAAACTCACTTTGATCATCATTATTTTATTAAATTGTAATAAAATCTTCAATTTGTGAAAGTAACAAAATTTTTAATATTAACACCTAAATGGACAGAATGTACAGTCAAAGTATAATATTATGAACTTTTTAGATCTCGTATTATATTTTAGATAATGTGAGACCTGATACTAGAAAATCTAGGATTTTCTAAACTATATTTTAAATAATGTGTGTTAAGAGTATCTCACATCGAAAAAGTGTGAGGAAAATAATTGGTATATAAGCTCTTGAGTTGAACTAACTAATTGATTGGATTCAATCTTTTAATGTGGTTCAGCCCAAGTGTCTTATAGTCCAATCTACTTATCCATACCCATCCTAAATTCTATCAATGTGAGACCTGAAAGTTCTTACCAAAAAATTGAAGATACTCCAAAATATTTTATTGTTATATTCCTATAAAACTTACATGAGGCCCAAAATTTTAACTACACAAAATTGTAAAATAGAGTAATTCTTTGTCTCTAAAAGTCTTTTTTCCTTTTTTATTCCCATTCTTCTTTTATTAAAGAAAACTATTTTTACCTATATTATTTCTTAATTAATTTATCACATCATACATATTTATTAATAGTCTACTCATCATGTGATACTTTTATCAATCATATCAAAGATAATATGAGAAAGTCAACACAAAAACATTTTCAAAACACATAAAAATCTAAATAAAGAGATTTAGGTACAAAGAGAGTACTCGTTTTTTCTCTATAGTTTTAAATTTGTGATGAAATATAGATGTAGCATTCCTTTTTCGTTTCAAAAATAAATTCTGATATAGTTTTCACAGAGTTTATAAATACTCCGTAACATTTAAAAACTGCATGATTAAACTTTATTTATATTAAGTACTACCTCCGTCACAGAGTATTTGCGTTGTTTTGATTTTTTTCATTCAACCATATTCAACCTTTGACTTATTATTAAATAAAATATATATTGTATATGAATTAGATAAAATCTTATTTTACATAATAAATCTAACGAAACTATTTTATGTCAATATCTAATATCATTTTATTTAATTTAAGTCAAAGTTGATCAATTTAGACCAAAAAAAGTCAAAAAAGGATAAATACTCCAGGACGAAGGAAATATGGGAAATATTTGAGTACTTTTTTCACTTTTTTCAAAAAATAAAAAAAAAAGAAACACTTCGGTGTAGAGTTTTTTTTATAAAAAGAAAAAAGAAAGCTTTTTGCGGGGAGAGTATTTTAATTTCTTTAGTTATAGTACTCCTAGTTTGAATTCCACAAGTCAACAGTCCAAACTACAAACTACCTTGGTCAATCCTGGCCCACTCCAATCAGCACACCTTAGGTTTTACCAAGAGAGTATTTAATTCTATCAAAATTTGGTTTGTTGAGACAATTTTTTTATAAATCTGAACACAAATAGTTTCAAATTTAACTAGACACAGAGCAATTAAAATCACACCACATCAAAAATATTTAGGTTAGAACATAATGATTCAAATCATTTTAGATTTTAATGATTTTAGATAAAAACCAATCAGATCAAACGATGAGGACATGACCTAGGTTTGATTATTACATTCTCCGTCTCAAATCAATCTTTTACACTCCATTCGTCCCTAAAAGATTGCCACAGTTTGATTTTTTGGTCAAACTGTGGCACCCTTTGACCACGAATTAAATACAACTAGTATTTTCACTCATGCGTTGCACATGGAAATTTAAAGTATAGTTTTTTAAGATTATTTTAAGATGTACCCAAGTGTACACCGCACAATTACAATTCTGGGTGTGGATAAGAAGATTGGAAAATGGATAAGGTATGTATGATGAGAAGAGTAATGGTGTACAATTTTGGTGTACCCCTGTCATTGCTCAGCACAACAATGAAATGGTGGCACATTTATGGGCAGCATCTGAAGAGTAGTACTTCGGAGTGGGGTACATTTTTTGGAATAGGGGATCCCCTGCCCCGATTCCCAGTACTTCGGGGTGGGGTACGTTTTTTGGGATAGGGGATCCCCTGCCCCGATTCCCATGATGGGTTTCTCCCCGGAGCTCCGGCCCCATGTCTGTTTCTTGCCTAAAAGTGAACTCTATCATTTCCCTGCCTTCAATTTTTGTAGAAAGATGAGCGGAGCCTAGAGGTATACCTCAAATCGATCTAGCTCCGCTGCTTCTTCACTTTGCACTTTTGGAAGTTCTCCAGCTCCCGATGTCACGTCCTTCCCAAAAAAGAAAAAAGAAAAAGGGACAGCATCATCAATATTTCCCCCATTCTCTACATAGGGAAGGGTAAAATCATCAATGCTAATTGTGAATATATACAAGGGAGACAGCACTGATATTGTTGTTATCTTAAGGGTTATAAAGTGGGGTTCTTTTGACACCAGTTCATTTGAAGACCCTATGATGCTTCATTTTACCCCACAATGGTTCCTATCCCCCAAAATCCCCAAGCCTGCCCCCGCTCCCCTTAATCCTCTGAGTTCGCCGTTATGCTGGAGTAACTACTGTAGCATAACAACGAACCCGATGGGTAGAGGCATGCGGGGGGAGGGAGGGGGTAGGGAGATAAGAACTACCACCGCGGGACCCTCACAATAGATTGGTGTCATTATATGACACCGGCCATGGGTGTCGAAAGAACCCTACTCATGTTTAGAGCACAACATTTCATAATGTGTAACAAAGTAGAAGGCAAAAAACATCATATTAGAAATATAGAGGAATACATGGAAAGGGACCAACAAACTTACTAGGAATCCGATGTAGAACAGATATATCAACCACAGCTACACGATCCACCAGGGTGGCACTTTCACCTTAAAAGATATACGAAGGTTTTTTTTATTTTATGTTGTTGAACCACTGTCAGCAAACCTATATACAAACATAATAAGGTTTTGTCTTTGGAATGAAATTGCACAATTAGACAAAAGCTTATTTAAACTCTTATTTTTCGTTTGCATGAAAGACATCATTGTAGCCTAAATATATTTCTGCATTTGGATGTTGTGTTACCATTTCTTTTCCTGGTTTGTCATGGATATTGAAATATCCTTCTCCCACAAATGTACTGAATATAAAAGACTCCAACTCCACTGATTTTCTTGAATAAAGTTATACAAGTCCACTATAAGCCTTTTCTCTTTCCAGCCTTTGGGTTTGCATTTCTTTCCTGACAAGAAAAGCGTCTTCCCACTTGCCCGCGTCTGCATAAATATTATGAAGAAGCACTCTGCTTGGACCGTGGGACGGTCCTACTTGTGCCAAATTCTTTGCGGCCCTTTTCCCAATTTCTGTGTTGCCGTGTGTTTTACTCGCCGCTAAAAGTGCACCCCACACCACAACATCGGCCTCCATAGGCATACTCCCTATAAGCCTTTCTGCCTCCTCCAACCTTCCGGCTCTCCCCAAAAGATCCACCATGCAACCATAATGTTTGATGTTTGGTTCTATTCGGTACAGCTCGTTCATCCTCTTGAAGTGGCGCTCACCCACTTCCACCAGCCCGGCATGGCAACAGGCAGTCAAGACACCAATGAATGTGATATGGTTGGGTTTTATATGACGCCTCTCTAAATCAGAGAAAATGTTGAGTGACAGCTCAGCATGACCGTGCATGGCTAGCCCACATATAATCGCATTCCAAGGGGAGACATCGGTTGATCTCTCCTGGATTTGACTGAACAGATCTAAAGCAGTGTTAATGTTGCCACATTTCGCATACATGTCGATTATAGCAGCACTCAAATTGTCATTTAAAGGAATGGAGTTCTTGGAGATGTACTCGTGGGCCCATTTACCTTCTTCCAATATTCCTAGAGTAGCAATTGCAGAGAAGACACTGACCATTGTGACTTCATTTGGTTTAATGCCACTAGCCACCATTCTACGGAAGAGGTCAAGTGCTAAATCGGGTTGATCCGTTTGTGAATAACCAGATATCATTGAACTCCAAGAGAAAACGTCTCGTTCGGGCATCTGGTCGAATAGAGACCGACCCGCATCTACTTTCCCATTTCTAATTAATCCTGCAATGAGAGCATTCCAACACACGGGGTGGTCTTTGCTACCTATTTCAAACTGGACACGAGAGAGATCGATTTCCCCACAAGCAGCATAGAGATGGATAATTGTTGCCTGAATGAAGTCGTGGCAATCCAACCCCATCTTCAATGCCACACCATGAAACTGCTTACCCTCTGAAATAGCCATTGATCTTGAACAAGCAGAAATCAAGTCTACGATCATAATATCATTGGGTTTTAGGCTAGTACGAAGCATTTTGATATATAACCCCAAGGCCTCGTGTAACCTCCCCACTTGAACATATCCATCAATTACAGTACCCCAAGAAACCACATCCCTGTCAACCATCTGCTCAAAAAGCTTCATCAACAAACTCACTTGCTTAGTCTTTGCATATCCATTTAGCATCACATTCCAAGAAACAATATTCTTCTCCGGCATTTCATCGAACAGCAGGCTAGCGTCTCTCAAATAAGCAGAGATGCAATACAGGTGTAGCAAATTAGTGGAAACATGAACAAAACCATGAAGTCCAAGCTTCAATACCAGTCCATGAAGCATTTTCCCACTCTTAACCCCACCACATTCCAAACAAGCAGAGATCATGCTACCAAGAGTAACCTCATTGGGAACCAATCCCAAGCATCTCATCTCCCTGAAAATATGGACCGCATTGTTCAATAACCCCTTACGGACTAGAACCTTGATGATAGAAGTATATGAACCACAATTCTTTCCAGGCATTTTATCAAACAGTTGGCAAGCCTCATCTACATGTCCTAGTTTGGCATAACCAGACATCATGATGTTACACGAAACAGGATCTAACCGAGGGATCGAATCAAATATCTTCCTAGCATCCCCAATCCATTCACATTTCACATAAAAACTCATCAAACTATTCACAATAAAAATGTTGGAATCAAGCCCCGATTTCAAGATAAGGCAATGAAGCCCTTGGCCATGGGGGATAGAGGCTTGGGCGGAACAAGATTTCAAAGAAGAAACCAAAGAAAGCTCGTGATCAGGGAAACGAACATGCACCATTTCTGGTCTTCTGGCGTAAATCATTTGTGAAGAGGAGGAAATGAACCTATGGATCACCAGAACTGGCATCTGAAACCTCTGCTTTAAGATTCTTGGTAGAGAGAGACACTTCTGGTTCTGCACCAAAACAGCAAAAACCATGTGAGATTTCGGGTGAAGGGGGAATTGGAAATGGGTTAAGGGGATTGAGTTTGCTAAAAATTTGCAGAGCTCTCAATGTAGCATATCTCTTCCTCACCATGTCCAGCAAAAACTTCATAGTACAATTGGCTCTCATCTACTTCCTCTTCGCCTTTTGTCAACAGCTCCCATCATCAAACAACTTGACACTGTAAAATTCAGCACATTAAGGAGTATGAATTTACTTAAGATGTGTTTGGAAATGAAAAGAAATGGATTCCCACACAAAAATTGTACTAATTCATTATTGGAACACAATTTCAAGCCAAAAAAGAAATCATCAACATAACTCAATTCTACAAAAAGTAGGGGAAAAAACATCAGAACTTGTTTAGAACTTTCTTCATGTATATTATCAAAAAGTATAATAAAATGCATATGTACAATGTCATATTACCACAGTTGCGAAATCTTATTTTTTTATATTTTTTCTATGCATTACTCATATTTAGGATAATTTCTTAAAATCAAATTGAAAAGCACTCAAAAAAAATCAAATTGAAAATAAAAGTTAAGTTCTATTTTTACAGTTGGATTTTATGTTTTAAAAAGTTATGCTTACATGATCTCAAAGTACATAATAAAAATGTGCATTTTCTCACATTTTTCATGGGCTTGCAAGTGATTTCTTTACAAAAGGTCCACTTATTTTATGTCACAAATATACTAAGCTCCATAAAAGTAGTATGAACATTAGATCCACGAAAACTATTTTTAAAAACAATTTTCGGTGTTGAAAATTAATTTGAAGTATTTTTTATTTTTAATATTTTATTATAAAAATTGATAACTTTTGATCATTAATAGAATAAAATTGATAATGGATTAATATACCTCGGGTAAGGCATTATCTATCACATCAAGGTCACATATCAACCACGATATGCGCATTCAATGTGGATGAGTATTGGACACACACATTCCACTCCCAGGATTTTTTCAGTGGACGAGAACAATTCTTCTTATTTTTAGGTGTTGTTTTTCTTTGTAAATTGTTGGTGTTAGAGTTTCTCTCTATCTTTATTTTTCTTTAAGAGGCATGCGAATCAAGTTACTCATTTATTAGTTCGAGCATCTAATTCTACGTTTGATCGCAATCACCAAATGGGATTTGGCTATTGTACCTTCAACTCATATATTTTATGCTTTGCACTTTGATACGATGAATAAATAAAAGTACCAATTTATGCATAGGCTTTGCATTTTAAGCTAGACATTCATTGATGAAAAAATCACTTATCTCGCTCTATGGTGATCCAAACACAAGATATCTCAAAAAATGCAAGGCTGATAACCAAATGAACTATTCAAATTCATGCATAGGCTTAGGACTTCTACTCTCTTCAAATGATCTAAATGATTCCGATTTGATTGGAATAAGTTTTGATCTGGTCTGATCTGATTTGAACTCAATATAATTATATTTAAAGTCATTTCTAAAATGATCTAAACCAAACTCATTCCAATAAGAATAGGTAATAAGACAAAATTAGACAAAGTTTATACTCTTAGTTTTGTTTATACTCCCTTTGTTTCAAAATTTTATGGTCAAATTTTATCGATATTGATTATAAAAAGTCAAAATTAGACAAATTCTTTAGAAGGGAGATAGTATAATGTTAGACACAAGAACAAGATTACTATGTAGAAGCCAAGGATGTCATTGGATTGTCACCTGAATGAAGAGTGTTAGAATTTTTTTCACATCAGGAATTTGAGAGGAAATAATAATTGATTGGATTTAATCTTTTAATGTGGTTCAACATAAAAGTCTTATGCCTTAGCTGAATAACCTCTTCCTTTCTAAATTGTATCATAGTATCGGAGTGGATTTTGATACACCTCGTTTTGTCAAGGTGTTTATCTAGAAGTTTATTCCTAGTGGCCCTTGAGTCTTTACTCTAAAATATATGCCCAATTTAACTTGATTGTTCATCTGTACTGTAAGTGTTTTCACGACAATCTTCAATATTGGTTTCAGGGGATGGAAACTCATTTACAAGTGGTCAACTCTTTAGATTCAAAATGGCCTGGCTTGGTTGTTAGATGGGGAAATGTTAGAGTATCCCTCATTCGAAAATTGAAAAGAAAATCATGGATATATAAGATCTTAATGAGTTAAACTAAGTAGGTAATTGATTCAATTTAATTTTTTAATGTATTTCAATTCAATTGTTTTGTGGTCTTTACCCAACCTAGGGATGAAGTGGGGTACAACGGGTGAGCTAGGGGTATGGGTTTGATGGGAGGGGGGGGGGGGGCTAGGNTTAGCGTAGCTGTATATAGGACTCAAATAGATCGAACATCATAAACTCATAATATGTCATTAAAATTTATTATCAAATGAATTTTAGTTTTTTAAGTTGTTAGCATTTAAGATTTCTTTGATGATACTAACTAATCTTTAAAATCTAAAAATTAAAACATGATAACAAAACATTGCTCAAGGAGGGTGAACTATCAATGAATTGCATATATAATCCGAACATTATTATAGCACTTCACCTCTATATATATACCCCTGCATCAATTTTTTGCTAGACTTTTTTCACACAAAAAAAAAAAGAAAATGAAAAGAAAAAGTCAAGTATATGTGTATATATAAACAACTTCATCATCACTTCTACTCTTGTTTGGCAAGTCTTTCACTTAAAATCCTCACTCCCATGTACCTGCATAAATATTAATGCAAACTAATTCATCAACAACAAACACTCAATAATTTTATTTTATTTATCCTATTAAAAACATTCATAAATTTATTCAATTGACTCGAAAAAATGAAATAAAAAGAATAAATATAATTAATATAGAGTACGCCAAGCTAATAAAAACACACAGAGATACATAATGTCTGTGCATGCACAGACATTGTGTGTCTGTGTTAGCTTAGTGTACAAATAAAGTACTCTATGTTGGTGTACCACTTACCTTCCGAGCATCATAACAGTTGCCTGAGGGTTAGTTCCGGGAGAATAATGGAAAGTAGACCCATCCACCACCCGGAGATTCCCAACTCCAACCACCTTATAATCATCGTCGACGACGCGGCTGATCTGGCACCCCCCATGGTAATGCCAGATCGTCATCACCGTGTCCCGGCAATACTGCTCAAGGTTCACCGGCGCGCCGGCGTGCTTAGGCAACAGGTTCACCGGCGCGGCGGCGGTCATGTTGAGCAGGATCTGCCACGACATGTCGTCGTATTTGAACCGGGAAAACGGGCGGGACTCGACGACGGACTCGATCACTCGGATCCCCTCCACGCAGCGCCGGAGGTCATCCGGTTCTTGGAAGTAGTTGAAGGTGACGGCGGGATTGTCGTCCGGGCTCAGGGTTCGGAGCGAGAGGTTGCCGGAGGAGATGGGCCCCATTATCTTTTCCAGGATGAAGCCTCCTTGGAATGCCGGTGGCTGTAGCTGGCTCATTGCTTCGATGGCGGCGGCTATGGCCTTCGGCGTTCTTTGTTTTGGCGGCACCGTCGATAGTTGTCCGATCTGTATTCATTTATCATTCCCTATTTTTAGATTTATATAATTGATATTTACACCATTTTTTAAAAGTTTTTCGTCCCACAATTGATTATAATGCTTACTATTCTAATGTCACAATAAATTTTGTTTATTTGTATATGTTCGTTGATTATTTGATAAAATAAAATATTCTTGTCACGTCTTGTTTTATAAAACTTTTAATGTAATTTTTAACTAAGTAAATTTATTTTTTTACTTATGTCTCAATTTTTAAATAAAGTGAATTAAAAAAATTCGAAATTTTTCTTCGTTTTTTGTAATTTGTAATCAAAATAGGAACGAATAGAGTATTTGATAAAATAAAAGTCACATTTCATTTTTATAAAACTTTGATTCTAAAGAGGGCGAAGTTGTACCTGAGGAGAGAACATTCCGTAATGAGTGCTGGAGCCGCCGAAGTTCTCGCCGGAAGCGGCTTCAATGTAGCTGCCGGAGGGGGTGATTCCGACGACCTGGATGAGGGAAACCTCGACGGGAACCGGCGACGGGATGTAGACGGCGTTCATCGGGTTGTCGGACATGCCTTGCCCGACCATGGGCTGGTCCAATACAACGCTGATGTTATGGGCCCGCAGATGATCGGCTGGGCCTATTCCGCTCAGCATTAGCAGTTGTGGGCTGCCCAGTGCTCCGGCAGACACGATTATTTCGCTCATGGGCCCCCTCCTCAAGATTGCCCGGTGTCTTGCCCCTGATGCATCTCTGAACACCACTCCATTGGCCACTATCTTTGATTTTCCTGCATTTTTATAAAAAATAAAATTATGTCATTACTCATTAGTTAATTTTTTGGGGGTAAAATTGTAAATTTTAACTATATTATACTCCCACTTTTTGTCATGAGACAGTTTAGACTAGTGTACCTAAATACTACCTTCCTCCCAGAGTATTAGCCCACTTTCTTTTTTATATATCATCCAATGCACTTCTTTAATTCATTTTATCTTGTAATTTGTATATTAAAAATTATAGAAATCATATATTAATAATCTATATGTTAAGACAAATCAAACAAGATCACACATGACTATATTTAGGTTTACACATTGAGAGAATTTGATGAGTCAAAGTGCTAAAATGAACAGTTCCAAAAGTCAAAACTGGAAGAATACTCTGAGATGGGAGTAAGACTCTAACTTTGTTCATTCATAGCTATATAGGAGTTGCAATGTGTGAAAATTGACCATGAATGCTATGGTCCATACATTATTTCCCTCCCCCCCCCCATTTTTTAGCAAATAGTACTTTTTATTTACATGACATTATTACCCTCACTGTTACTCTTTAATTACTACACATATCTACACTTTATTTTACTTTTTTCAATTATTCAAGGACATATAGGAAAAGTCAAACTATTTTTTTTATTTTTTATCATTTACATGTAAAAAAACAAACACTGCCCCCACCGACAATTGGTAGCAATTTTTGTGCCAATATGTCCTTGTCTAAGTATATCAACCATCAATGTTTCAATTTCTCATAGTCACATATTTTGGTTGAAAAAATCTGATTATTTTTTTATATTTTTCTTTCTATTTTGACTGATAAATTACAAAAAAAAATAAATTATTATATAAATTTAATATCTATAAGAAGGAAATGAGAAGGGAATAGAATAATTGTACCTTGACCCCACATTACAAACGTGAAAAATATTCCCTCGTGAATATCTATTCACTTTCAACTTTTTTCGGTCAAAATTGGTTCAACTTTGACTTCAAATTAAATAAAAATTGATACAAAATAAATTTATTATATTTATTTAAAAAAATATATATTTTATTTAATTATTAATCAAAGATTGAAAAATGAAAAAAAATTAAAATTGTACAAATAGTCTATTTTTGTAGGGTTTTAGTTTCATTACACAGAACAAATTTAACCACGAAAAGTAGAGTAAAAAACAGGGAGTAATTAATTACCTTTGTTGGTAAACAATATTCGATGGACGGAAGCATGCAAGAGTACAGTAAGGCGAGCCGGGTTAGCATACTCCAGAAGATCGGCGGCGGTGTGACGGTGGCCGGAGGAGTTGAAAATGGTCCCACCCACCTTAGTCCCATTAATATGGTCATAAGTGAATCCATTGTACGGCCGAATCCCCGCCTCCAGCAACCCCTCCCTCACCGCCGACTGCCACGCCTTCACCGGCGGCCGGAACGCCACCTTCTCCTCCACCCACTCGTACGACTCGTTCACCGCCCGCCCGTCCCACCCCATCCGCCTCACGAACTCGGGCGCGGCCCGCGAGTAGAACCCGGCGTTCAGGCAGCTGCCGCCGCCCAGAACGCGGGCGCGCGCGTTTATGACGCCGTCCTCCGAGATGAACCTCTGGGACGGGGAGGACTCCGACAGGTCCGAGAGGGCCGCCCCGAACGCCGACATGTGGGTTATGTTCGGGTTCCCGTACGGCGACCCGCCCCGCTCCAGCACAAGCACGCTGTAGTTCTGTGACAGTGTCGCCGCCAGCGGGCACCCGGCGGTCCCACCGCCGATGATGATGTAATCATAGTGTGACACTTCCGGCGCCGCCGTTGCTTGCCGCAGAAACGAGTAATTCGGAGCTGCCCACGAAACAGAGTCATCTATATATTTATACTAGGATATTTTTCAAATTAATTTTTTTGATATATTTTTTAAACTAATTATTTCCGTAACGCAATGTAGGTTTAATATATATTTTTTTTCAATAAAAAAAGAATAACAATATAATAAAAGTCAAAGGCTAGGTTTTATAATTTTTAAAAAAAGGAAATTAAAAATTAAAATGAGAAATGAATGAAGAAAGAACCTTTTTCAGCAGAGGCATGGAAGAGAAGGAGCCCAAGAAGGGCTAGAAAGAGAGATTTACAGAGACAAAAGGCCATTTTATTTTTATTTTATTATAAATAATGTAAGAAATAAGAGATTTATATATAAGAGGATGGGGTAGATAAATAATGGATTAATTAGTGTAAAATGGAGCTGATTTATATAATAGTGTCATGTGCAATAATATAGGCAAGAATATTGAGAAGTATAAAGGTTGCTCTATGGGGTTTGTAGGCTATGGAAGTGAACACTTAAAGAAACAAGACCATGCATGCAGCTTTTGTGAATTGATCATGTATATATGGTCTTTTTGTTATTCATTAGTACTCCCTCTTATAAATTACTCCCTCCATCCCAATCTAAATTATCTGTTTTAATTTATGATATTTAACTTAAATTATTTTCAAATCTTTTTATATGAAAAATCATGTAGGATTTAAAAGTAAAAAATTACATATATAAAAATTACATTAAAAATTCTACAAAACTAGTGGTGAAACGACTATATTATCTTATTATATGACTAACAAAAATAGAGAAATAAAGTGCATGAAGTTTGACCGCGTGAATAGTAAATATATACTTTAATTTGAGATAATTTAGGTTAGATCTTGCAAAAACATGGACATTGTTTATTTAGACCAGTGAAAAGTTTTTTAGAAAGTGAAAAATGAAAGAGGAAAAATTTGTTAGATAATGTAAATATAATATTGTATAATTGAGTTAATGTAAGATATAGTTTGATATATACTTCCCTTCCAAAATAGTCTTACTTCAAACAATGTGTAAAATTTTATCTATTTTAACATTATTTTATTTACAAGTTAGTAGTGACATTAGAAAAATTAGAGTACAAATTAAATATTTTATTTTTAAAATTATCAATAAAAATAAATTGTCTCTGATCCAAAAACTCCTTTCTATTTCTTTTTTTCTTATCCTACAAGCTTCTTTCCTACTCCGTATTAAAATTACTTTTATTATACTAAATCTTAACCTACCTATCACATCATACCTTTTTATAAAAATCTATCTATCATATTTTATTTTTATGTATCATATCAATGATATTTTTGGAAGGTTAACATAAAAAATATTCTACCCTTAAATTTTTTATAAATTAAAATGAAAACATCTTTACGGGATAGAGAAAGTATATATATATATATATATATATATATATATATATATATATATATATATATATATATATATATATATATATATATAT